TTTGTTGTACGCAGCTATCTTTCGAGTTTTTTCTTCTTTCTCTCTGGTTCATTCATGTCCATGTCTGAAATATCAGTGCTTATTCCTGGTATCTGAAAGAATGCAAATGGGGAAAAGAAGATCATTGAAAATCTAAATCTCCTCATTTTCCCCATCTCTACTGCCACTTCAAGGTTTATACACCAAATAGCACATAATAGCAATTCAAAAATGTAAAGGACAGATAAGGTTTCAACAGCTGAGAACCATGTCATACAGGAAGCATGGTTTTCAGGGTTATAGTTGTTTCCACTTCCAATTCAACCCAGTCTAGTGACTGAGAACAAGAGTCACATGCCTGAGGTGTACTGGGGCAGAGAAAAGTTAAGAATCAATGTCAGAATCAAAGAATCAAAGGCCCATGTTTCATCTTAATCCTCGAACGTACAGATTTCCAAACTGTTCAAAGTGAAAAGGTAAACACTTTTCTGGAATTTTTATTAAGGGCCCAGAAGAACTCCAGATGCCTGGAATTCCATAGCTTCATAATGTCAGTGAGAAAACAGAATTTGCTATTTGTCTTCCATACCACTTCCAACTTCTCACTAACATCAAATAGAAATACCTTTGACCATAGTATCACTTGAATATGTACCTGTTGTTGCATCACTGCATGAACATTAGACCTTTAGTCTTACCTGTGGCTCTACCAGGGACATTCGGATTTTCTGATGCTGAAGATTAGATGAGTCTAACATGATTTTCACTTTAACTTTATCAAATATATGGAACACCGTATCTTCTATTTTAAGTGAAGGTATCTCATCATCATAAATAAGTCGTGGCTTTGGTTTGTCCTTTTCTTCAAAAAACACTGTACCTTCTAGCCCATATTTTGGAATTAATACCACAATTGCATTCTTTCTTACAAATAAAATATAGGCTTCTTCACTTATTATTCCTTTGGTTTTGAAAAATAACTGTAAAACAAAGTACAACCTTGGTATCAAATTTTAAAATATTTTTAAATAAAATTTAAAATCAACAAAAATTCATCTCTCATAGATTGAAAGCAAATACCTGGGTGTGAAATGCCACAGATGCACGCTGGGCATATTGTGCCATTTTGTGTCGGAAATTGAGATTTTTACATAATTCTGCAAGCTTGTGTTTGTCTGTCAATTCTGGGTAAGTAGAGTCAGCCCCAATTGCCACAGCCAACAAACGATGAACAATAACGTCTGCATACCTTGATGTATGAGGGAGAAAGTGCAATGACAGGTTAATGGATTGTCTCTAGATTTCTAAATTTCAAAGCTAACAATTTCTATCTCTTTAACCTCATACAGACTGTACCTTCTAATGGGTGAGGTAAAATGTGTGTATATTGGGGATGCTAAGCCATAGTGATGGAAGTCGCTATCCATTCCAGAGCAGAAGTAAACAGCTTGCATCATACATCGGGTGGCTAATATCCTTAACAGAGTGTTTAGATAAGGGAAAATGGGAGATTCGGCCTGGTCCAAAGAGTCAGCCAAAGACTTTGCTGTGTCGGTTCTGATTTCCAGATTCT